TCTGCATGTCATGGGGGCTGAAGTTGGTGTGATTCATTAGTCCTCTGGCTTTTTTTTAAGGAAGAAGTCCAAGCTTTACTGATTGCATTGGCAAACAAATGAGGTTCCAGAACCTCAGACCTTGGTGGAATTCTGGTTGATGTGTTAGTCCTCTGGCTTTTGCATCTTTGATTTTCTTTACTCGAAAGAGAGGAAGATGCTCAACAAGATGGGTTAACACAGTGACTGTAACAGTGGGTTCGTACAGGATCAGGCAAGGCTCACGTCCATTGCTCATGAGTTGTAGTTGCCTTGACGGCACCTAACAACAGCTTCTTGCTGTGGATGGGGAAGTGGACAGGAGCTGTCAGCAGTTGCACCTGACATGGCTACTTCCAAGTTTTTAAGACCCCAGTTGCTACTCACCAAAGTAGGATGTAGAGTACTGTCTTTGTGGACTTTATTGTGCCATTTGACTTTGTGTTCAGAGACGAATGTCCTGAGTTTCTGGACCTAGTGACTTCTTCCCTCAGAGCTAAAAAGTTTATGTAATTTTGTCCCCTGTTTTCTCTACTATTATACGTGGATATATGTACAACACATACAAATACGTGTGTATGAAATGCTGTCTACTCTACCTGTATATGACCACTGGTGTAGTACTTCCCACCTGCTCATAGCTGTCTGTCCTGCCTGTCTGTCTATGTGGCCACTTGAAAATTGTTGTCTGATGCCACTGTGTGGGCTCTAACTCATGATGACTCTGTGAACCACAGAATGAAAACAGCTCAATCCCTCACCATCCTCCTAATCTCTGATGTGCTTAAGCCAACTGTTGCAGTCACTGTGTCAGTTTATCTCCTTCAGAATCTTTCTTACTTTTCTAAGTGTGATATCCTTCTCTAGCGGCTGGTCAACCCTGATATCAATGCCCACTGTAAGTGAGACAAAATCTCCCCATCCATGGCTGCACTTCTTATAATGCACATTTGTGCCTTTTGGTAGTCCATGATGTACTCAATGTTCTTCGCCAAAATTTCAGTTCAAAAGTATTATTGTTATTTAGTTTTCCTTATGCATTGTCCAGTTTCCACGTGCTTTTGGAGTTGCTGAAAATATCCTGGCTAGGAACACCTTGGTCTTAGACGTCTGTTATTACTGATAATGGAGGGTCGTGTGTGCAGTAGTATTTACCTTTGTGTTCTGGACCTCTTGTGGGCCTTTCTGTGTCTTTAGTGATGTTACGCTGATCACCCCCTTCATTTAATTTAACAAGTATCTGATTACTAAGTGTGTCACGTGCTGAGCTGTTAACTGAGGTTGGCTGTTAGAATCCACTGGCTGCTTCCTGCAAGACAGATGAGACATTGGCTCCTATTAAGATTTTAACCTTGGAAATCTGGTGGAGAGTTATGAGTCAGAACTTACTTGTGGGGGTTTTGTTTTGTATTATCTAATTAGTGATTTTACCCTCTTCTTTCCCCTTCCATCAATGAATGTTTCTTCCTTTGTATAAACATTTCCTAAACTTTTTAAAAATTTGAGTGAAAATTTACACATTGGTTTTTAACTCAATCATTCGCACACCTTTTGTTTTACAACATTAATTACAAGTTAAGTCAACTTAACTTCTTGTAATAGTGGAACCATACAATATTTGTTCTTTTGCGATTGACTAATTTCACTCAGCATCACGTCCTGTAGGTTCCGCCACGGTATGAGGTGTTCCTTAGATTCTTCACACATCACATGAATATTCCACTGTGTGTGCATGTGTCATTCATCACTGATGGGCATTTAGATGGTTCTATTTCTTTGCTGTTGTGAATAGTGCTGCAATGAACTTGCAAGTCCTTATAGCCCTTTGTGTACTGTCATTAATTTCTTTAGAATCTATACTTAGTTAGGAGATTACTGGATCAAAAGGCATTTCAGTCTCCAACTTTTTAGGAAGGACCATTCTGTTTTCCATATGGTTGTACCCTTTTAAAGTCCCAAGTGAATAATTGTGATGAAGCTGTTCACTCACAGTTTTCCTGATATTGTGCTGATCACCTCCATATTATTAAATATTGCCTTTCCCATCTCTCAACCAGTTTGTTGACAAGTGGTCTAGTCTAGCGATACCTTTAGCTTTTCTGACTCCTGTGTATTATAAGACATTCTCTTTATTTAGGAGATAACCCAAGATTATCATTAAAGCAAGGGAAGGCCCCTAGGTGTCAAAGAGCAGACTATCAGATTCATGAAGGAGCTCTAGTGGCCCCTAGGTCCTCTAGGTGAGGAGGCCTAGGGGAAAGCGGTTCAAATCCACCAGCTGCTCCATGGGGAAAGATGAGCAGTCTCCTCCTGTGGGGTTTGCCGCCTCTTAAAACTCACCAGACGGTCTGCTAGGAGTCAGTTCTGACTTGATGTGCATAACATTAGACCCAAGCAAGGCAAGGTGGATTCCTGGTAACCTTCTGGATATTGTGTGTTTCTCTGAAGCTACCTGTTTGCTTGACTTGCATGCAAAAGCTGAGGAGGATGTGGGCGGCCCCTTGGCCTGTGACAGTGTTGGTCACATCTCTATAGAAGTGTGGAGAAGAGAGCTTCTGGGAGGCCATCAGGATCAACAGAGAGCCCTTCAGTAGCCCAGGAAAGCCCAGGTAGACCAGAAGCTGCAGGAGCAGCCTTTGGTAACCATGCTCCTAGCACGTCTTCCCAGACAGTACCAGTAAACACTGACTCATGGTGACACTGTGCACGCTAAAACAGAACTTTGCTCCAAAGGGTTTTCAGTGCAGATCAATAGGCCTTTCTTCTGGGTAGACTTGAACCTCTAATCTTTTGGTTAGCAGCTGAGTGCACTAACTGCACTGTCCAGGGACTCTTGTCTTTCCTGCATATTGTCTGTGTTATCCTCATTTCATTTCTTGGACTCTGAGCTGACATCACTATGGTTTCAGTTTACTCTCTGACGCTGCCTTCAGCTCCATAAAGGAGTTCAGTATATTTAACCTAATGACTTTATTTGAGTCTCCAGAAGTCAGAATCCTTGAATAGGTTGGAAGCGGGGTGGATAGCATCTAACTCCAACCCCAGGGCACCTGTCAGGAGGCCTGCCCTGGTCTCCTTTATTAAATGTTGATTGATTGAACTTTGTACTGGTCAGGATCCTCTGGGCCCTGGGGACACCTCAAAACAGCCAAGGCCCCTGCTGGCATGATTCTTATATTCCCAAAGAGAAGGGAAACCATTAAACAATAAAGAAGTAGAATGTTGTATGTAGTGTGCTGAATATGGGTAAATGCTGTGGAGAATATGAAACAAGGAGAGGGCCAGCTATCAGTCAGTTTTGACTCAGTGGCATTGAGAGAGAGTTTGCCAATGAGCAGAGACAATTGGGCAGAGAAGGGTAGAAAGTGAGAGAGTGAGCAGTGCAGATATGAAGGAAGAGTATCGAAGGCGGTGGGAAAAGCTCCTGCAAAGGCCCTGGATACGCTGGGTCTGAGCAAGGAGCAGCAAGGGCAGAGCAGAGGAAGCACAGTGCAGACGGGGAAGGCCAGCATCAGGCCGGACAGGCGCGGGGCAGATCTTGGAGGAGAGCCTCAGGGCTACTAGGGGTTGGACCTTTACTCTAGAGCAAAGTTGATCTGCTGTGACTTCTATTTTACTGAGCCCCACTGGCCACTGTGGGCCGAGGGAGGCAGAGATTATTCCAGAATCCAGGGGAGTTGTGGCAGTATGGTCTCCATAGTCTAAAGTTGAAGGCATGTCAGGCGACAAAGCTCCTGAGGATTTCACCCTTATCTGGACTCATTGAGACCCCCCCCCCATGGGGCTCCCAAAGCTGTAAGTCTTTACAGGAGGAGATGCCCCATTTTTGTCCCAAGGAGCACTTAGTGGGATTCGAATCACTGACCTTTCAGTTAGCAGCACAACACACTATGCCACCAGAGTTTCTTCCTGATTATTTAGTATAGGATTTTCAGGCTGAGAGAATAGGGATTCCCCAAGTGCGTGGTGCTGTGGGCAAGGCTTTCCCATCTGGCATTTCCAATGAAATACTACAGTAGCCATCTTTCTGTTGTCAGAAAAAAAAGTGGTAATGAGATTTTATTTTAAAATCTCCCCAAAATTTCTCCCCACTAAACCTCCAGCCTCCTGAAAGTGAGCCCTGTTCTCTTGGAGCCGGGAAATGCCATTATCCCGCTTCCCTACCCTGAGCAGTTCCCGACTTTCCCTGTGTGAAAGGCTTGTTCAGGCCTCACGCAGCACTCTGTCCACCGTGATGAAGCCTCACAGAATGCTGTAGGTGATCAGGACACAAATGAATGCCCATGTTCCAGGTGGGAACACAGAGTCAGGTGATGAGATAATGTCTGAGGCCCAGGATCAGCAAGCAGCAGAGCTGAGGCTCAGCCCAGCCCTCCTGACTGTTACTGCTGCTGTGTACTGTCATGTCAGAACCTATTCGCAGCTATTCTGCCAGCTGAGTCTCAGAGGCTGTAAATCACATGGGAGGAAATTGCCTATTTTTTTCTGCAGAGCAGCTGGTGGATTTGAACCACCTACCTTTGAGTTGACAACACTACTTATCCCCTAGATCCTCAGAGCTCCCTTGTTGTTGTTATTGCATACTGTAGAGTCAGAACCAACCCATAGCTGATGGTTTGGTGGATTTTTAAAGGCAGTTAATTGCATGGGAGGAGGTTGCTCATCTTTCTCCCACGGAGCAGCTGGTGGTTTTGAACTGTGTACCTTCAGGATTGCAGCGCAGCTTCTTGCCACTAGGCCCCAGAGCTCCCCAGAGCTCCTTTGTTGTTGTTATGTGCCGTCGAGAGCTCCCTTAGCCTGTGGCGTTTCTGTGGCCCACCAGAATCCTCTGTTAGAGCGGAGTCTCCAAATAAGGTCCATTCCTGTGCTGTCACCTGGTAGGGAAAGCCCTGACAGCAGGCATGACAGCCCAGAGGAACATGGAAGGAAAACCGAGAGGCCACAAACCTCCACCTCCCTCACTTCTTGCTTTATGGTTGCAGGTGATCGGGGCATTGGTCCTGTCTGTGGGGATCTATGCAGAGGTCGAGCGACAGAAATACAAAACCCTTGAGAGTGCCTTTCTCGCCCCCGCCATCATCCTCATCCTCCTGGGAGTCATCATGTTCATTGTCTCTTTCATCGGCGTGCTGGCCTCCCTTCGGGACAACCTGTGCCTTCTCCGGTCGGTGAGTCGGCTCCACGACCCTTAGCTGGGCCAGCATAGGGGCTGCCACCGCTAGAAGAGCTTGGGAGACTGCCTGCGTTGAATGTGGGAGACAATTTGGTTCCCTCAGGCTGTGCCTCAAACCAGCTCAACCCTCCAGAGGGTCTCCTGGATCAGCCCATCTTTTGTATTGGCCCGAGTGCTTAGGCCACCTCCCTTAAAAGAAAAGAATTATTCTGCTCATTCACTTAAACCCTTGCTTGTCTGAACATTCAGCTCCAAGTGGGAGAAATAAAATTCAAATGCACATGAGGTTAGAAAAGGGGAGGTAGCAGTGAGGAGCTAATAAACACATTAGCTCTAGTAAACACATTAGCTCCTGCGGCCAGCAAGCCCACAACAGTTCCCAGGGTTCAGGGGTGCTGGGCACTCATTCCTGCTCTACCAGCTGAGCTGCACATGCGAGGCCGGCCAGCATCACCTCTGGCCATCAGAGTCTTTATAGCTCTTGACCCCAGGAAACTCTAATAGACTCCGTGGTCATAGACCACATGTTGATGGACCTGCCCTGAGCTGTGCACCCAGCTCAGTGTCAAGGAGTGGAGCCAGCCCTACCCACATCCCCTTACTGTGCACAGATGTGTCTCTTTGGACCTCATCTTCCCTCCGACCGGAAGAGCCTATAAGCCTTTGGAGGTGGGTTCTTAGTGCTGCCTAATGAGGTCTGGTGGCACACTTCATCATGTGTTGGGCTGCTAACACAAAGGTTAGTGGTTTGAGTCCACCAGCTGCTCCTCAGCAGAAAGATGGGCAATCTTCTGTCATAAAGATGTCGAGCCTTGGAAATCCATCGGAGGGTCCCTGTGAGTCGGAATGGACTTGACGACAGTGGGTTTGGTTTTAGTGCCACTGAGACTGCAAGTTACTGGGGTCAGCGTGGACAATACGTGCTCACAGATAAAGGTTAGGGGAACGGTGTGTATCCTCAGAGCCTTGGGCACCCCATCACCTGCTCCAGTTCTGGGGCTCCTTGCATGGTAAGCTGGCATTGCAACACTTTACCCCTTCCCAGTCACCTGTCAAGCCGGCTCTGACCTCTTGGTCCAGCCAGAGTGAGGCGAAGCTGTCCCCGTGGGAGCTGCTGAGGATCCCTGGGATGGATGTCGACCACAGTCTGCCTGAGACACTGAGTCATTCTTCCTGACGGCTTTTCCTCCACAGACGGGCTTTTCCCAGGGACTGTCTGTCTGTGCGCCGGGTTCTCACAGGAGGGAGGGACAGAAGCCCAGACAGCTGTAGGAGCCTAGACAGAGGTTCAGCCTGTGGCTAATTTGAGACTGGACCTCAGAGCTGATGTGGCTGCCCGCACACCCTCCCCCGGTCCCCATGCTCTCAGTAAAGTTCTGGATCTTGTTTTTCAGTTCATGTACATCCTTGGGCTTTGCCTCATCATCGAGCTCATTGGTGGTGTGGTGGCCTTGACCTTCCGGAACCAGGTGAGCCTGGGATGCCTTTATCATCCATGTACTAGCCAAGCGGCCTCTGTGTGTGCCCTGCGCTGTAAACTGGGGGTGCTGTAGGGTCAAGATAGACAGCCCTGCAGGGAGCTGCCACTCTCTTGGGCAGACAGGCACTGAACATACAAATTAGGTGATAACATGAAACAGGTGATATGAGAGTGCCTGGGGGTGGAGGTGGTTGGAGGCAACATTTATGATGATGGTAATATAACTGAGGAGCATGCGGTGTATGTTTTGAGGTTTTAATAATAGAAGAGAACCAGCCACGTCATCAGAGGAATCACAGGCAGAGGAAATGACCGGAGCAAAGACACTGGGGCAGGAAGAAACTTGACAGGTGTGCAGAACAGACAGAGGCCGCTTGCCAGAGCAAGTGAGTGATGGGGGAGAGGGTCAGACAGACCACGTAGGTCCTTGTGGGCCATGGCTTTGGAACTCCAATGCTCCTCTGAAGGCAGTGGGAAGCCTTGGGAGGCTTTTATACAGGGCAGTGATGTGTATGATTCACATTTTTAAGGTTGGGCAGGCTACTTAGGAAGCATGCAGGGTAGGGAGGCCCAAGAAGAAGAGTCTGCTGTGAGCCTGTAGCCTCATCCAGAGAAGGAGTGATAGTGGCCAGGCCATGGTGCAGCCCTGGGAATGGGCAAAAGGTGCTGGATTTGCTCTATGTTTGGAGTCAGTACTGATGGGACTTCCTGCTGGATCTGGGTGAGGACAAGAGACAGCTTGAGAAGGTGATACCCGGCATCCTGGCCCTGGAAGAGTTTGCAGAATCAGTAGGCCTGTGAGCTAGAAAGGAGTTATAAGCAGTTAGCACACGCAGCTGCTAACCAGAAACTTGGCGATTTGAATCCACTCAGAGGTGCCTCAGAAGAAAACTCTGGCAATTGACTTCTAAAACATCAGCCTTTGAAAAAACCTTATGGAGAAAAATTCTTCTCAAATGTAGAGTCCAGCTCTACAACAGGTCTGAGAGTGGAGAATCAGAGAGACTTAAGAAAGATAGACATGAAATAGTATGGTGTAAGGGACTCAAAACTTCCAAGAATCTTAAGTAACTGTATTCAGCACAGGCCAAGTTTTCGAGTAATATCCACAAACAGAAAAAAAACTATATCAGTTGTAACAGGGTGTGCAAAGATTTCATTAAGAATATTATCTCACAGAAAATGTCTTCTTCAGTGATTTTTCAAAGAACATATTCCCAATGTTTCTCAGAGTCTTATCAACAAGGCTTGTGCTCCATAAGAGTGCAGGTTTTCCTGTTAACATGTTGTGGTTAGCTAGTCTGCGATTTGTCTGTTATCAGACTGATAAGATTCTGTCAGCTGAACATGTCCTCGCTCATCCACTGTCCTCTTTTAACTCTGCACTCAAATACACGTGGTCACCATGAGTTGAAATTATCTTGATGTCAACTCATTGCTCTTGCTTCATGAGCTCCAGAAATGAAGAGAGATTCTTATTGTGTTGATGGAGCCACTAAAGCACAGAGAAGTTCAGAACATCTCCTGAGAGCACACAGCAAGGCAGAGGAAGCACCGGTCTGCTCCCCAGGCCAGTCTTGCTACCATCTTCCTCTCCTCTTTTGCTTTCTATACCCTCTGCTCGAGCTAGCATCTTTTTCAGCAGCCTTGAGCCTCTTGTCTGTGCAGCCAGACAGAGATTCCAACAAGCTGTGGTTTTCTAGAAGTTATAGGTCTCTGCTGTCCTGGCTGGAACCCACGTCCAGTTCCAGGCCAGCAGCATCAATGACTTTAATAAGCAGCTCCCTAAGCGAATAACACTTCTTGTTTTAAACTTTGTTACACAAGGAGGGGTCAGACCTTGGCAACAGATGTCATACTGGGAAAGGTGAAGGGTCAGTGGGAGAGAGGAAGGTTCTCTTGACATGTGACTCTGCCAATGAGCTCAAATTTATCAGTGATGGTGATGAGGGCACAGGACAGAGCAAGGTTCAGACCTGTTCACAGGGTCACTGTGAGTTGTGGTTGACTCAAGAGCACATAACAACAATGGGAGGACAGCAAGGACCGTGAGCCACCTCTTTTGCAAGTGAGAGAGCAGAGTTGAAGGCACTGGCCGTTGGAATTCCCGGGGCCCTGTGATGCTCAGATCTTAGGATGCGTGGGCTTTGGGTCAGGGATGACAGTTCCTAGTTGTCCCCAAATCCCGTGGCTTCCTGGCCTGTGACGTGTGCTCCTTTCCCTTGTGGGTAACACTGGGGCCCAGACAGAGTCCCAAGTACAGCCCAGCAGGAAGCCCGGGAAATAGCCACCACTAGGGCTGCCCACTATTTGCACACTCATCATGGGCCATGAAATTAGATGCCAAGGATATAAAATGGAATCAATATTAAGAGCAGGATGCAAAATTATAACTGCGGTAAGGTCTTCATGATGAGAAAACGGGTCAGGAGGACACGTGGTCTCTGAAGAGGGATGAGGATGGCCAGATGATGCTTCATCTCAGACATAAAGACAGAAGGCCCCTCCCAGGCCCCCAGCTGAAGCTGTGAACCCATCCACAGGTAGGTCAGCTGGGGCTACAGCAAACCAACCACCCTAGTCTGGGTCTCCGGAGTGTATGGAAATAGTGGATGCTGGGAAGGCAGCCTGCAGGGACTTGGCCCCAGGTCGGAAGCTCCCGGTACCCCAGAGCCCAGAACAGCTCTGTCCTCTGAAGGGGTCTGGATTCCTCAAGGCAAAGCCTGGTGAGAGGCTCCAGCTGTAGTCCCTTCTAGCTCACACCACTTTTCTGATTCCCCAGGGCTCAAAACTCCACAGGAAGCCCACGTGTTCTAAGATGTGAGGACCCCAGACTCCTCAATCATTTTCACTCATTCCGAGCACCTCTCTAGGGAGTGAGGGCGAGAGCTCCCAGTAGGTTAAATCAGCTTTAAAAGGAAGCACTAAGATGACAGGCCCTTGTAACTTGAGCCTGGTGGTTTCTTAAACAGTGTGATCTGAAATCCTGAGGGCTTTGATGTTTGCTTACTTAAGACTTAATTTAGCCTTTGGCACGTGACCTCCAGGTTTGTGCCCGCCAGCCAGCGGTTCAAGAAAGGTGGTTTCCTGGTCCTTTGGGGAGCTGCCTGCTGGCATGACCTGGTTTAGAGTTGGGTGGATGGGGAGGCACTGGTGTGCTTGGCCTGTGGAAGCCATAGAGGAAGACAAGATCTTCTTCCTCCTCCATTCTCTCCCAGGCACACCCCCTGAGCAGTTCCCTCAGGCCCTCAGTTGTGACAGGTTCCCAACTGCATTGGCACAGCAACTAATGTCAGCAAATCTCAGGGCTGACACCTCTCCCCAGCTCCACCTCTCTCTACGGGATCCTCCCCACCCCCAGTCACAGTGCAGGAACCACCTAAGGTAGAGGATATACCTCTCTAGTGCACTTATACACACTTCTGACACACACAGTACTGCGTAGTCATACCTCACACATACACACGCCCACATACACATTCACACACAATCTCACAATCAACACACACACACACACACACACAATCGCACCTAAACACACCATCACACACACACACACACACACACACTCCCACACCCCCCAAACAATCCCGTACACCATCCCACACGCACCATCCAACACACACAATCCCACATACACACATACACACAATCCCACACACACCATCCCACACACCCACCCACACACACCCACAATCTCACACACCCACATACACACACACATAATCCTACACACCCACAGTCCCACACACCCACATACAAACACATAATCCACACACACCAACATACATACACCTACAGTCCCACACACCCACATACACACTCACACAATCTCACACACCCACATACACACACAATCACACACACACACAATCCCCCCCACATTCATATGTACCCACACCTCACATACACACCCCATACACAAATCCACATACACACTCATACACATACATATTCACACCTTCCACATACACATTAATGCACACACATGCCCAATCCCACATACTCCTCACCCCACACAATCCCACACACCCATACACACTTACTCACACTCACCCACATACACTATAGTAAATAATCACACTATGCTACATATACACACACAATCCCACATACATCTCACACACAAAATCACACACACACGTATACAGTTATGCACACTGACACACACAGTAGTACATATCACTCCACACACACCACACACACACACCCAGCACATAATTACACCCTGCATATACAGACACTCATACACACACAATACCACATACACAGTCACACACACAATAGCATACCGTCACACCCTCCACATGAACATTTATACGTGCTCTTTCTCATACATGATTACACAGTTACACTCCTATATATTCATATACTCTCTTACATACAAGTGCACAACCACAAGCTCTCACGCTCATTCATACTTTCTCTCACACACACCTCCCTACACTCTTTTGTGCTGAGCACACACAGAGTCACACTCCTGCCTCTGCACATATGCACACTCACACACGGTGGCACACATTCCTGTCTCTTCACACACACTCCCACACAGTGGCACACATACACACACAGTCACACTCACACATACACTCTCCTGTGCACACAGACACACATTCACACATACCCTCTCTCTCTCTCAGACACCCCCCCACGCGTTCTCACACACATTCATACTGGTGATATTCTCTCTCTCTCACGTAGACACACATACTCTCACACACATCCCAGCCCATTCCTTCATATTCAGACACTCCTACAAGCACACACACTCCTACACACACATACACACTATCACACACAGTGCCAAAGTCTGGGAATCAGCACAGCCCAGAGGGATCCCTGCTGGGACTGGAGGCAGCTGCCACCCGCAGTCCTGGACCTGCTCCTCCTTGCACGTGGCCTCCCTCCCATGGCAGCGGTGCAACTGACCAACTGGGAGCCCTGGTTTCACAAAGGGCCTCTCTTGGAGTCAGTGAATCTTTGGAAAGTGCTGAAGATGAAGAAGATTTGGGGAGAGGCCAGGCGGGGGCTGCTCCTCAGAGGCAGGGAGCCTTTCCCCAACACGTGCCCCACCCTCCTCCACTGCTTTCCTGTGCTGGGCTCCCATCATCCCCACCTCTCTGCCCTGGAGTTCTGAGCCCCGTGTGAGTCAGAGGGGACTAGGAAGATCAGAAAGGAGGGAAGAGCGGGCCCACAGTGGACCAGAGCTGTGTCAGCTGTGCCTCGAGTGTGGAAGGAAGCTCCAGTACACATCCTAGGGCTGTGACCTAGCCTGTCCTGAACTCAGCCAGAGGGCCTGGCCATTTACCATTCAGTGTGTGGATGCATTACTCTGCCATTAGGTGCCAGGCTGACCAGTTTTGCAGGCACCCCTCACCACACCTCTGCTCGCTGACCGGTCACTTCCTCCAGCAGGCCCCCAAGGTTTGGACACATCATGACCAGGGAGCCTCTGGGAAAGGTGGACCTGCAGCCAGATGGTCCTGCCTCAGGCCAAGCCACACAGGCAGCTATTGCACCCACCTTCTCCTCTTCCAGCGCCAAGCCTGGGCGCTAGACTGGTGAGCTCAGCACCCTCTCCCCCTCAGGGCTGACGTCTGCCCAAGGCTCACCTTGGGAGAGCGGTGTTTAGCTTCAGCCCGTGGAGTTTTTTCACGTGCTTGGGCAGATCACATGCCTATCTGAATGGGCAGGTAGTTTGGGTGGGTGGTGGCCTGCTGGCAGCCCAAGGACACTTGCCTCCCGTCAGCTCTTCCAAAATGGGGAGAGCCTTGATTTCATCTGGGTGTCAATAGATTTCCAGTGATGTAATGAAAGATGTCATGGGTATGAATTGGAGGGGGGAGTATCTGCACTAACAATATACATACCTGCTATGCACCTACCACACTAATACACACTTTCGTGTTGTTAGCTGTCTGGCATCGGCTCTGACTCAGCAAGTGCGCTCCAGGCTTGTCCTCACTCTCATTGTTATGTCTGAGTCCATTATTTTAGCTTTGCATCAGTCCATCTCATGGACGGTTTTCATGGACCCTCCGCTTTGCTGAGGGAGCTCTGGTGCCCTAGAGGGTAAAGAGTTGTGCTGCCAACCCAAAGGCAGGTGGTTTGAATGCCCCAGCTGCTCTCTGGGGGAAATATGGACCGTCTCCTCCCGTGCCATTTACAGTCTCTGAAAAACCCACTGGAGGGTGAGCTATGAGTCAATTCCTACTTGATGGCACCTAATAACAAAAGCAACCATTTTGCTAAACCTGATGGTCTTTTCTAGCAAATATTCTTTCTTGGTGACATGCCCAAATTAAGCAGGTCAAAGTCTCACTGTCTTTCTGTCTGTGGAGCAGCACCTGGCTGGATTTATTAGTAACATGTCAATAGACCCAGGCCGTTACGTGAAGTGTCCGAGGCCTGGGTGGTTTCAAGGACTGTGTCCTTGACAAGGCCTCACAGCTCCTCTCAGCTTTGTTCTGAGTCTTGGATCTGGAAAAGTGGCCTGAAAGACAGGCTCACTTGGAAGTGGGTTATGACACTGATTGTACAACACAAGGACGTAATTAACGCACACGAACAAGATGTTCACATATGGCATAGGTTTACTACATGTATTTTTACCTTGACAAAAAAAAAAAAGGGTAAAAGATGGACCTCAGAGTGGCTTCACAGTCAGGGGAACTGAAGCCTGGAGAGGAAGGCGGAGCCAGGAAGGGACATGCAGGGTTGGAGGGCCAGCACTCAGAGCCCTGCTGTCCCTTGTACCCTGTGGGCTCCTCCCAGGAGCAGTCTGGGTCTTCTGTCCAGGCCCCAGAGTCCAGAATGCCCCCTTTGTGCCAGCCTCGCCTCTGTGATATGTAGGCCTCTGCATCTGAAAGCTGCAATTGTCACAGAGCGTGGAGCTGTAGGACTTGCTGCCACCCCCGCCCTCCCTGCTGTGGGGCCCTTTGTGCACCAGGGTCTCAGCATCTCAGCACACAGCCTGGCTGTTGAAGCAGAACACCAGCGTGACCGGGAGAGGGCGTGCTGCCAGGTCCTGTGCCAGCAGAGTTCCTGTGGGATGCAGGAAGAGGCCTGGCCAAGGAGTTCAAGGACTGAGTTCTAGGCTCTGCTGTGTGGCCTGGGGCAGGTTGGACACCCTCTCTGAGCCTCTGCTTTATTGCTTGTAAACTAAGAGCTTGGATGGTAGAGAGGAAATCTGGAGGGATTCCAGCTCAGGTCTGAGTCTGGGTGGTGGAAAGAGCACCAGTAGGGATCAGACAGCCCAGACTGCACCCAGCATAGCTGCTTCAGATTTGAGTGACCCTGCAGGTGGCCCGCCCCCTCGGGGCATTGGCTGCCTGGTCTAGAGGAAGTAGGATGAGACTCTTCGGCTGAGACGTCGCCCTGAGGGATTCAAGCCCCAGATGAGGGTTGGGGAAAGGGCTGTGGGCTGAGTGTGCAGAGCGGGGACTAGAGGGGGCACAGTGCTGGCAGGGATGTGGCTGCCTGGCCCCTGTGGGCACTCTCTCAGTTAGACTTCTGGGAAAACTCAAGTTGGATTCTGGGGATGTGATTCTTTCCCTTTGAGACTTCTCTCTCTCAACAGACCATTGACTTTCTGAATGACAACATTCGAAGAGGAATCGTGAACTACTATGATGACCTGGACTTCAAGAACATCATGGACTTTGTTCAGAAGCAGGTGGGTATTCAGGCCCCTACTCGAGAGGGCAGGAGGGAGAGCCCAGGGGCTCGCTGTTCCCAAGGCCGGATGAGGGCCAGCGATAGGTGACCCTCTGCAGGCAGTGATGCTGGACCCCAGCCTTCTCACCAGCCCTCTGTCCACACCCCTGACCAAGGGGGTCCTCCTCCTCGCTCACCCTCGCTGGCTACATGGACCCTCTCCTGCAAAACTCTCTCTCTCTCTCTCTCTCTTACACACACACACACACGTAAACAACTAACAAACAAAACAAGGTCAAGTATAGCTATAAGCTACGTAAGTGTCCTGGAGTACCCTCTTCCAAAGCTACAGAGCCAGAAAGTGTCCACTGGGCAAAGGTCCAAGCCTACAATTCCAGAGGTTCTCCTGCTAGTTCTCTTCAGTAATGGGGAGCTCACTCCCATTATTCACGAACAGCCCAGTGGGGAGAGGGGTCTTCACCAAACCCAGTTTCCCCACATTGGGGGAAACAGCAATGTGATGAAGAGTGCTTGTGGGACATTATTTACCAATCCAAATAATAATGATAGCAGCATTGATGGACCAGCCAGTGTTTTCTTGGGTCCTCTACCTCAGTCTTCTTTAGTCCTGAGCCCTAGATTCCTCACTGCACAAGAATCTCAGACCTCTTCCTCCTGTGGCTGTGCGAGCACTATCCCCACTTGGCTCAGCACAAGTGCCTGAGGATGTGCCAGGCACGTAGTGAGCCCTCAGGAGGCATCAGCTGTGGGGATGACATTGTTCTAGGTAAGGAAAGCAAAGTTGGGGGCCTGTGGGCACATGGCAGCTGCTTCCTGAGGCATTTCCCTGGACGCCTCAGCTGACCCGGTTCCTCTGGCCTCTCCAGCCTGTCACATGCAGCAGCCACTCCCTTGGCTCAGCCCTGAATGTCCTGGCTCCTTGCTGTGGCCACAACAGGTGTAGCTTGCAGAGGCCTCTCTGCCAGGAAAGCGCCCATCAGCTTTGCCCGGAGAGCCCAGCCCTTCTCCTGGTTGAGCAAGATGTTTTCCTTGGAACCCGCCATCAGCCGGCCTGGGATTCCATTCTCCCGGGGTGCGGGTGGAGGATGACTAATGCTTGGTGTCAGGCCCGCCCTGTGCCCAGTGCCTCCTCCTTGCTCACCACCTCCTGGGAGGCCCGTGCCGTTCTGGACGTTCTGACCTAAAAGGCACAGCCATATGTGTTCCATTATAGTCACCACCATGATATCCCACCCTGGTGCTTCCCAGACTTACTTGCATGCCTCCAAGTGATGGGATGCTCACCACCTCCTGGGCAGCCCCTGCCATTCTGGATGGTTCTGATCTAACAGAGTGTGCTTCCTGCAGCCCCATTCCATCCATCTGTTCCCTGACACGTCCCCTCCTGCAGTCTGATGGGGGCTCGGTGTTGATGATAGCCCGTCTTCCTGTCTCTTCCTTTTTCAGTTTAAGTGCTGTGGTGGGGAAGACTATCGAGATTGGAGCAAGAACCAGTACCACGACTGCAGCGCCCCTGGACCCCTGGCCTGTGGGGTGCCCTACACGTGCTGCTTCAGAAACACGGTAAGGCCCACTCCTGGGGGTGGGGTGAGGTGGAGGCCACCCCAGCTGGTCAGCACCTCTCTCCTTTCTGCCCAAATTGAGGACAGAGGTGCAATGGGTGGATGGGGATAGGAGTGAATAGAGAGTAGTGGCTGGAGGCCAGGCTCTCCCCAGGAGCTGGTGGAAGGGATAATTTTAGGGGGGTGGTGGGAGACTTCCTCTTTGTGAAGACAGTAGTAATTTAACACTTACTATGAGCTACTATACCCATAATACCAGCAGTTAATAAATCAAAAGATGTGTTGTATTGGGGAAATCTGCTGTCAAGAACCTCTCCAAAGTACTAAAGACCAGCGATGTCAGTTTAAAGACTAAGGTGCATCTGATCCAAGCCATGGCATTTTCATTTGCTTCATATGCATCTGAATGTTGGACAGTGAATAAGGAGGATAGAGGAATAATTTATGCCTTTGAATTGTGGTGTTGGAGAAGAGTACTGAATACCCCATGAACTGTCAAAAGAACAAACAAACTTGTGTTGAAGGAAGTGCGATTTGAATGTGCCTTAGAGGCAGGGTGGTGAAACCTTGTCTCACTTACTTCTGACATCTTTTCAGAAAGCACCAGTCCCTGGAGAGAGACATCATCCTGGGAAAGGTAGAGAGAGGGTCAGCAAAAGAGAGGAAGAGCCCCTTCAGCCAGGTGGATTGACACAGTGACTGCCACAGTGGGCTTAAGCATGACCGAGGTGAGGAGAATGGCCCAGGATAGGACGAAGCTCAGACCTATTGTTCATTGGATCCTTAGGAGTCGCAGTTGACGTGACGGTACCTAATAACAAGCTGCCGAACTCAATGAGAAGTCCAACAGCACTTGAACCTATCAGAGGTCATGAGGATGGTTTGGGATAGGGCAAAGTTCAGATCTGTTGTTCATAAGGTCGCCAAGAGCTGAACAACACTTAATGGCACCTGATGACAGTATGTACAGTGGCGAAGTGCCCTGGTTGTATTCATTCATTCAGTTCTCACAATGAGGAGGCAGATTGCTGTTATTTCATTCACTTTATAGATGAGGAAATGCGAAGTTAGATGCCTTGCCTGAGGATGACAGGGCTGGGATGGAAGAGGCTGCTTGTTGTGAATTGTTGCACAAGCCAGACTCAGAGAGGAGAGGCCTCAGGCCAGGGAGCAGAGTTGGGTGGTGAGCTCTGCGGGGCCAGCGGAGGGCCAGGCAGGCCTTGCCCTTTGGCATCCCTCCTCGCCTTTGGGCCAGAGGTCTTGGTGCCCACCAGCAGCAGGGTATGATCTTTCCAGCCCTGTTGCCTTCCAGCCACATGGACCATGTCCCATGTAGTCGCTGCTCAGAAGCCAGTGACTTCATCAGTCCTCTGTGCTTGACTGATGTGCCCAGAAATTGTCTCATTTGTGCATCAGAACAAGGTGGAACACTCGGCAATTACTCACACCCCGAGGAGTCATGGAAAATTTCCTTCCTACCGCGCCCACCATGCCATGCCCACTGCGGAATCTGCAAACGAGCAGCTGTGGTGGGGGTAGCGCCCGCCTACACATGTGCCAGCCCTAAAAGGGGCTGGGCATAAGTGACCGTCTCGGAAATTTTCGCTGCCATTTTAGGCTGGCTGACGGGGCAGCAAGGAGGGCTGGGGAGGAACAAGGATTTGCAGAGTCCTGTGGTGATGATCCTGAATTCAGTCACCCAGGGCAGAGCCCACTGGATGTCCAAGCTGAGAGGCATACAAGTTGAATTTGTATTCATTCATTCATTCATCCATCCATTCATTCATTCAGTTCTCCTGTCATCCAATGTTTAATGAGGATCTGTATTCTGGATGTGGTTCTAGTTTCTAGTGATACTAGAAACACACAGAAATCAATGCCCATTGAGGTGACAGAGGTGCTGTCCCTCTGGTAGGGAGAAGTGGCAAACAGGAAGGACTCTGATATTACCTTGAGTGACAGGGAGCAAGCCGGCCTTCAGTGGAGGTCTGGTGGGTCTGACTTAACTTTACCAGAGACCCCTGGCTGCAAAGAGACCAGAGAGACAGGGATGGACAGTCAGCAGGCAGTGCCAGGTGCCACAGGTGCCGTTGGGAAGTTGATACTGAAATGCTGGTCAGTTTAGGGATGTACTTGGGATTGGCATCAGTGGGAGATAAAAGCAAGGTTGGGCAGAGGGAGTCCAGCAATGATGTAGTCTCAGGAGATTGTTGTTGTTGTATGTTGTGGAGCTGACTAAAACTCATAGGGACCCTATTGAACAATGGTTCTGAACCCTGCCCTATCCTGAGCCAATCTCAGTGTCTCAGACATTCCTGACATCATGGCCACAGTCACTGTGTCAATCCATCTCATTTAGGGTCTTCCTTTTCTGTCCTGGGCCTCTACTCAATCAAGCATGATGGCCTTCTGCAAGGACTGGTCCCCTCTGGCCACTTGCCCAAAGTATGTGAGAGGAAGTTTCATATTCCTTGCCCCCAAGAAGCAACCTGATGTCATCCAGAGGGGGTGTGGGCAAATTTCCGAGGATGATTCCAGATGGTTCTCAAGTTTCCCAGTCTTATAGTAGCCACTCAGGAAGGGACTTAACAGCAGTGTCCTCACGGTGTCCACACCAGGAGGAGAGGAGAGGCTCTGAGCCGTGTGGAGGTGGTAAGAGTGCTAAAATGTGGCCAGATTCTGGTTGCACTCAGGAATTGACCAGATTTGAAAGTAACCAACAGGATTTGCTGCAAGTCAGCTGTGGGAGGCTAAGGGTTTGGCCCGAGGCACACAGAGGCTGGCCTTCTTGAGCTCCTGTCATGCTGGCTGCTCTGTGGGAGGCTGTCCCTGAGTCCGTTCTTTCATTTCCATGGGGTGCTCAGACCCTGGATAACTTAGCACTCTCTCTTGTGCTTTGGGGTGAACTTTGGTATGTCATTCTTTTTTTGGCTGCCCGGGAGTCCCCTTTCTGACTTCCTGTTTCGTGGCTGTGGCAGATGGAGTAGCTGCAGACAGCCGACCTCGGCTCCTGGGAACCTTCAGCAGGATGGGATTCTGTGGTCAGACGCAGGCAGCCTTTACCTTCTGAGGGATGTGGGTGCAAGTTGCTCTTGTGGTGAGGGGACTTTCCTAGCAAGAGGGCAACTCCTTGAGAGTGACAGAGTAGGGTTCCTCTGGGGCTGGTATGGTGACATTGCCTCCTGTTTCTTATTTCTTTTGTTTAAGTCCAAGTTTCATGAAGTCAGGGACTTTGTTTTATTCTCCTTTATCCTAAGTGCCAGAACGCCTCAAATGAATACTTAATGAATGAATGCCCACTGTTAATAATGCCCGCACACACTGTGCCCTCCAGGTCTGGCTCCTTGAGGGTCGTGGCCAAAGCCTCGAGGGGTCTACAAGGTTAGTCTCACCAGCGCTGCTATCAAAGGGGTTCTGGGAGTTGCTAGAATGAAGGTCTTGAGTGGCAGCCTAGTCAGAGACGTTTATGTACCCACCCTTAAGCTTTAAGACCTGGCACGAAGACTGACCGCTCAGAGGGGACAGCTGCCTTCCTGGGATCAGATGGAGAACAATGAGGGGGTTCAGCACTCACCACAGATTTTAGGGGGAGACTGAAGGGCCTTTATATCCACCCATTCAACATGCGTCTCCTGGGTCCCTCCCCACCATGGGTGCCTGGGCAGCCCACCTGAGGCCAACCACCATGCTGATTAGTGACAGGGCAGGACATAGACCTGCTGGCCACTCTACTGGTGCCCTCAAGGGTGTCTCTGGTACCCACAGCCCCCTGACCCACAGTAGCTTTCACCTAGATGTGAAGGGTAGGAAACAGGCTCTCAATATAGATGGAGAAGGAGATTTCAAGGGGGACAGGAAGGGACAGGATGTGCTCCTGCCAGCCTGTGACATAGGACCTGCCCTGGGCAGGGGTTTGATAGGGTTGGTGGCTGCCTCTCTGGGGCCTGAGCCAGAGAGAATGAGGGAGACCTGAGAGGCTCCTTTTCCCAGGAAGAGTATGTGGCAGTGCTTCCCATAGCCCCCCGAGGAGGTGGCTGCTGTGAGCTAAGCCAGGGGACTCTGTTCTCACTCTCAGATAAACCGCGGCTGGCTGGGCGCCCGGCTATGGTCCGAGTTATTCCTTCCAAGGAATCAGTAACCACTCCTTCCACACTAATCTTGGAGACAGCAGATGATTGCCAGCATAGCAGTGGCCAGGGTGGTGGCAGTGGCCAGCCCTGCAGCAGCATACGCTCGTCTGTGTCCCTGGTGGCTGTTGAAGGAACAGCGCCCCCCTCTCCCAAGCGCCCGAGGCCCTACCACCTCACACTTCCTCCTGGACATTTCTTAGAAGGGGAAGATAGAACTGCAGATTGTGGAGTCAGGCTGCCTGAGTTTGAGCGGCTCTGCCTTTGGGTGGTGCTTTTGTGCCTCAGTTGCTTCATCTGTAAAATGGGGAGAATGGTCTTAGCTATTTTACTATTTCTATTTCAGACAGAAGTCGTCAATACCATGTGTGGCTACAAAACCATCGACCAGGAGGTAACGTCTCTGAATCCCTTTCCCCAGGAAATGCTGCTTTTCCTGTCCCACCCCACGATGACTGTAGTGGTTCTCAGGGATGAAACTTCTCAAATTCCCCAACATTCCCACTTCTAGACAGGAACCAGGAATTAATAGGGGTTTTCCACTCCCAGTGAGAACCAGAAGGGCTCAGCAAACCTGGAGTTCCCAAGCTGGGAACTATTAAAGTTTGCTTCTGTGTGGAGTGCCCACTGCAGAAGCCCATGTCCCACTCTGTGCTCAGAACCAGCCTGCTTCTGTCCTCAGAGCCTAAGGTCTGCACATGGCTCTAATGAGCCTCCATGGCCTGGAACCATGAGTTATCTTGGGAACCCCCTGGGTCAGCCTCCTGGGTGAAAATGCCCTGGGTAAGGAGAGAAGCTAGGGGTAGTACAAAGAAGGGAACTCAAAATAATGGTGACCTAGATATGCCTCAGGATTGTTGTTGTTATGTACATACCATCCAGTAAGAACCTACTCATAGCTGATCCCCCAGGGGATTTTCAGAAGCAGTATATCACAGGAGAGGAGATTTTTTTGGTCTTTGTCCTGGACAGCAGCTAGCTGGTGGATTCGAACCATATGTCTTTGGGCTGACGGTGCAGCTCCTTACCCACAAGGCCAAAAGAGCTCCCTCTGCCCCAGAGTCATGGTTCTCTGAATGAGGGCCCTGGACCAGCAGCATCACTTGGGAATTTGTTAGAGAAACAAATTCCCAGATCTCCCAAATCAGAACCTTTTAGGATTGATCCAGCAAGTGATGCTGACAAGTTTGAGGATCACAGACCAGCAGAAATTCTCAATCAGACTCGCCAGACATTTTTATAACCAATACAGTGAAGCCTGGCATAGCTGGAACTTGATGAGATTGTCTTGCTTCTCTGGGCTCCACACATTTTTTGCCTCTGAGAGGATGCAATTTTACTGCATCTCTATTGCTCCTTTTAGAGGAAGATGCCTGCATTTTCCTTCTCTGGCACGCTTCCACCTCACACAGACTCTGGCTTTTGCAAGTTTTACTGTACTTGGTAACATTCTATTTGGAGTCCCTGGATGGTGCACATGGTCGATGTGCTCGGCTGTTAGTCAAAAGATTGGAGGTTTGAGGTCACCCAGGCACCCCAGAACATGATCTACTTCCAAAAAAACCCAAACAAACAAAAACCCCACCCATCAAAACCCTCTGGAGCACATCTGATTGGCTGCTATGACTCAGAATCAACCCCGTGACAACTTTTTTTTTCGATTATCAACCTACACACCAAATTTCAGAGCAATTGAGACAATGACTGAAGATAAAGAGAGAAGTAAGACAAAACAATTTACCATTGTATATTTCCATATGTAAATGAGCAGGCACAAGACAGATACTGCAATGAAGTCATCAGGTGTGTACACCTATACAAATTTCTCAGTTGAACAGCTGCAGAGGCAGCTGGTACAGGGACACTGTTGGCAGTGCATCGATTCTGTGGATGAACAACTCTTCATAAAGTTCTGAACGAAATAGAGGACAGTCATGCATTAATTTACAGAGTAGTACTTCTGGAAAGGGAGCTCTGGTGGCTGAGTTCATAGAGAGTTGCACTGCTGACCCCAAGGGGGTGCCTCTCTGACTCCACCAGCTGGGCACTCAGTGCTATTTACAGCCTGGAAAACAGTGAGTGGATTCCGACTGGCCAAGAGTGAGTGTGAGTGTGTGATTTCTGAAAAATTCAGAGTGTGTTCAAAACGTGCAGACAACACTTTCGTTTCATTCACACAAAGGCCCCCGTGCATCTGAAAGGCTTGCTGGTGGAGCAGGACTGTCTGAAGCTCCGCTGTCACTAACCCCAACCCCAGTTGTGTGACAACCAGTGTCATCACGAAGGTCCCAAATGCTCCCTCTGAGATTGTGTTTGAGGGAACTCCTCTGAGAGAGGCTGAGGGACTTGCCTGACTTGCAGTTAGTGGTAGTCAAGACTATAGGGCGTGTACGTGTGTGTGTGTGTGTGTGTGTGTGTGTGTGTCTTCCACCCTCACCCACCGGCTCTGCATCTGTCTCCTGTCTGCAGCGGCTCAGCGTGCAGAACATCATCTATGTGCGGGGCTGCACCAACGCCGTGCTCATATGGTTCATGGACAACTACACCATCATGGCTGGCATCCTGCTGGGCATCCTCCTGCCCCAGGTGGGCTGCTCTCCCCCTGCAGGGAGCGGAGCTAGAAGTGGGGTGATGGGCAAGCTGTGGGTTCAGATTAAGTGAGGTTTGCTGATTAGGAGGGAAGTGCAGGCAAAGCACAGAGGGAGGGAGGGAGAGGCACAGCTTGCACCGGCCATCCATCTGGGCTCACCTTCGGAGGCCTGGGAGTGAAGGGGGTGGATGGCATTTGCATGGTCGTAAAAGCTTTTGCAGCCTCTGAGTGCGGTTGGTACAGCGGTCATGCCCATTATACAGATGAGGAAAACAGGCTCAGTTAAGGCCTGGCAGACAGTGCAGCCTGAGGTGGACGCCCGAATCCCTGACCTGCAGGAGGCGGCCTTGGGCAAGCCATGGGGAGGCAGAAGAGGGAAGTCTGCCCCGTGTCCCCCAGGGCCCTCACCGGCCTTGTCCCTTCCCCTCAGTTCCTAGGGGTGCTGCTGACTCTCCTGTACATCACGCGAGTGGAGGACATCATTGAGGAGTACTCGGTCACCGACGGCCTCCTGGGGCCCCGCGCCAAGGCCGACGTGGAGGCCGCGGGAGCCGGCTGCTGCATGTGCTACCCCACCTAGGACCGCGGAGGGACCTCAGCACCCCAACCCGAGACTGGGGCCTGGAGAGGGGGCGGCTGCTCCCCACATCGACCAAAGTCCAGCGTGTGTTTGTTTGCGTGTGTGCGGCTGGCTGCCGCGTCGTCGCCAGGGGGCGAGGCTGCGCAGCCTCTGTGGCCCCGCCCCACTGCCTCCCCGACAGCACCCCTCGATCCTGGAGACCTTTGGGGGGCCGGGAAAGGGGGACCTCGGGGTCCTGCTCAGGGCTACACGCCGCCAGTGCCTTGTTCAGGAGGGGTATTTATGCAGCGTGGACGGCAATAGTCTACTGATTTGTAAATAGAGCGTGAAGAGGGTGTCAGGGGCGCAGCTCACTGGCCGGGCTGGCCTTTTGCAAGGTGCCTAGAGCCTCCTCCCCCAAGGCTGCAGCTTGGCTGGCCCTATTTTTCTACATGATTTTTTAAAACATTCATGTTTTTATAGTTAACAGGAGTTTCTGACTAATTAAAACTGGATATTTCCTCCCATCAGCACCTCAATTGCTGTTAAGATGGACGCATAGCTGACCCTTCAGAGGGTTTTCAGGAGGCTATAATCGCTCTGGAGGGAGGAGATTGTCCATCTTTCTCCTGCCCAGCAGCTGGTGGGTTCGAACCGCCGCCAGAGAGGCGCCACCTTCGGGTTAACAGCCCAACTCCCTGCAGGCTGCGCCACCAGATCAAATCAGTCCATTAATCAATAAAGATGTGATTTTTAACATCTGTCTCTTGTGCTCTGCTTGGAAGCCCCTTAATGGTCTGAAGACTGTGGGGTGGGCACACTCGTTGAAGACTTGGGGAGACTGAGGCCCGGGGAGATTAGCTAACGGTGGTTGCTGGGTGGTTTGATGTAACTTCTCTTACTCTTTGACGTTATTCCTTAAAGAAATGGCTTTTTTCTAGCCGCGTGGGTGCTCAGCCCTGCCCTTTGTTCTGGGAACTGAGTATGGGAAATGTAGGGGAAGGAGGCAGAGAGGTCACAACTTGGAAATAGACTTACTTGAAGTTCCTCACGCAGAAAGTGGGGCAGATGAGGACTTAGGGAAGCCAATGTTCCACAAAGGAGCAGTGCTCACAAGCCTGCCTGTGGGCCTGAACCACGCGCAGTGCCAAGCAAACCTGGGTGCCGATCTCCCCCTGCTGGACACGGCTGGACTCGCGTGCATCAGTCTACTCAGGCCGGTAGTCCCAAGGCTCAGGTCAGCCTGGGCGGGCATGGGAGCTGAATGAAGGTGATTGACATTAAAAACACCTCTTGAGCTTACTGTTTATCCTAGAAGGGGAGACCACTGGTCCTTATGCCTTCCCTGCTTCCCATCACCATACAGACAGACACCATCCAAGTGATGCTTCATACCCAAGTGATACTTCCTAAGTGACCAGGGATCATGGATTAGCATCTGCAGACACTGAGCTCCAGTTGACGGTACTTTAGCTTCCAGATCTCAGTCACTCACTTCTCCATTCACAAGGCAGAAGACATGGGGAGGACTTTTCCAATCCTGTGATTCAGACTTGCCTGATGTTGTTATGTGCTGTTGAGTTATCTGTGGCTCATAATGACAACAGCTCTGAATCCTGCTCTACCTTGAGCCAAGATTATGGTCCCTGACACACCTACCCCCATGACCCCAGTCAGAGTCAATCCATCTCACCCACAGAGGGTCTTCCTCTCCTGCGCTGTCCCTCCACCCTCCCAAGCATGATGTCCCTCTCCAAGGACTGGTCCCTCATTGCAGTATGCCCAAAGTATGTCAGATGGAGCTTTAGAATCCTTGCCTACAAGGAGCAGCCTGGTTTCACTCTCTCCAGGTTGAACCCGTTTGTTCTCCTAGCGGTCCACGGTATATTCAATACTCTTCTCCAGCACCAAATCTTAAGGGCATCAAGTTTCCTTCCATACTGCCCTGGGCCCAGAACGTTCACTGATAGGCTGAAACCTAAGTTTCTATTTCCCAGTTTCTTCTCCTTCTCAGGGAGGCCTCCATCCCTGGTCCAGGCACATAGTAACTGTCTCCGTCCTGCTCAGATGTGGGCACCACATGGTACCTACTCAACCCCACTTCTGTATCTATTCCCACTCAGGGGAGAGAACTCCACCCATCACCTGCAGTATGAGAGGCGTGTGTCCATACCATCTGCCCTGTGCTGATGTGGGCTGTGACTTGTTGGCCACTGGGCACAGTGTCTACTGGCAAAGCTGACCTTATCTTTTTTTCTGCATAAAGAGCTATTCCGTGTAAATACAGCATAATTTATGTCTTGTTTTGCTTTGATTTTTTGAATTTTGATACCCACTTACTGTACAAAATTCATTCACTTACAAGAATACAGTTTCTGACAAAAGCCTTTTGGTACCAGCATCCAGGAAATCAAAAGAAAATTCCACTTGGAAAATCTGCTGTCAGGGACCTCTCCAGAATATTGAAGAACAGTGACGGCAGTCTAGAGACTAAGGTGTAATCCAAGCCATGGTCTTCACAATTGCTTGCTAAGCATCAGAGAGCTGAACAATGACTATGGATGATAGAAGAAGAGTCTATGTCTTTGAGCTGTGATGCTGGAGAAGAAGAGAGGGTGAAACTGAGCTGCTCCTTAGAGGCAAGAATTTTGAATCTCCATCTGACATACTTTAGGCATGTTACCAAGCTGGGCCAGTCTTTGGAGAAGAACATTATGCTTGGGAGGATGGAGGGACAACGCAAGAGAGGAAGACCCTGGACCATTACTGGGGTAATGGAGTTGATGTGTCTGAGACAATGAAATTGGCTCTAGATAGAGCAGGGTTCAGAGCTGTTGTACATAGGGTTGCTAAGAGTTGCAGGTAACTTGATGGCACACAACAACAAGAACAACAAAAGCCTTTACATCATACTATATATGAATACTCATCTTGGTTTTGTTGTTATGTGCTGTCGAGCCTCTTGCAACTCATAACAACCCTATGTACAAGAGCCCTAAACCCTGCTCTGTCCTGTGCCAACATCACTCTCTCCAACACACCTATTCTCATTACCCCAGTCACTGAATCAATCCATCTTATCAAGGGTTTTCCTCTCTTGTGCTGTCCCTCCACCGTCCCAAACACGATGTCCCTCTCCAAGGACTGGTCCCTCCTTGCAACATGCCCAAAGTATGTCAGATGAGGCTTCAGAATCCTTGCTTCCAAGGAACAGCCCAGTTTCACCCTCTCCAGGATGAACCTTTTTGTTCTCCTAGCAGTCCATGCATACACCAAAAGCAACTCATTTCATACTGTCAAGAGAAAGGACTATTTGTCGATATTTGGACATGAAAGTCAACTGCATGAGAACAAGTGGAAAGGTGAAAGAGAAGTAATTAAGTAGACACTCCAGTTTCAAGAAAATCTTGTCTGCTTTGCCTGATCATTTAGCAAAATATTCAGTCTTGTAGCATAACAAATAAACATAGTGCTCTGAATTAAACACCTTACAATAAGGGCTTATGTGATCCTGCTGAAGATCCTCCACAAATGACTGGAACAGTACATTTTGACAAAGAACTCCCAGAAATACAAGCTGGGTTTATAAGAGATCATGGCACTAGAGACATTATTGCCAATGTGAGATGAATCTTGACAGAAAGCAAAGAATACAAGAGGAATGTCTATCTGTGTTTCATTGACTATGCAAAGGCATTTGACTGTGTGGATCACAACAAATTGTGGCTAACCTTAAGAAAATTGGCATCCCAGAACAGTTGATTGTGCTTATGCAAAACCTATGCTTTAACCAGGAGTAAGTCCTCAGAACAGAGCAAGGAAACACTGTAGGGTTCAAAATCATGAAAGGAATGAGTCAAGGATGCATTCTGTCTCCATACCTTTTTCAATCTATATGCAGAACAGATCATTTGGGAAGCAGGGCTTTATAAAGAGGAATGTGGCATCAGAATTGGAGGAAGACTCATCAACAACCTAAATTATTCATATGACACAAACATGCTTGCTCAAACTGAGGCAGACCTGAAGTGCTTGCTGCAGAAAATCAAGGACTGTAGTCTTCAAAATGGATTGAAGCTCAACATCAAGAAGACAAAGATTCTCACCACTGGGCCAATTTGCAGCACCATGATAGATGGAGAAGAGATTGAGGTTGTTAACAATTACAGCTTGCTTGGCTCCACAATCAACACCTTTGGCACCAGCAATCAGGATATCAAAAGACAAATTGTACTGGAAAAGTCTGCCATCAGGGACCTCTCCAGAATACGGAAAAGCAATGATTCCAGTCTGGAGAATAAGGTGCCATTATCCAGGCCATGGTCTTTGCAATTACTTGCTGTGCATCAGAAAACTGGACAATGACTAAGGATGACTTCAAATCGTGGTGCTGGAGAAGAGTCTTGAACATACCATGGATTGCCAAGAGAACAAATAGGTCTGTTTTGGAGAGAGTGAAACCAACTTTTTCCTTAGAGGCTAGGATTTTGAAGCTCTATCTCAAATACTTTGGGTGCGTGGCCAGGAGAGACTGGTCCTTGGAGAAGAACATCATACTCAGAAGGGTAGAGGGACAGCTGAGGAGAGGAAGACCTCAAATGAGATGGATTGATACAGTAACTAGGGCAATGGAGGTAGGTGTGTAAGAATTAGTGAGACTGGCTCAGGATAGGGCAGGCTTCAAAGCTGCTGTACATAGAGTTGCAATGAGTCTCAGGTGACCCAATAGCACATAATAATAACAACAAGGGCTTGTGAGTCAGGCAAAGGAATTTTAAAATGGGTTCATGGGATCATTCTACTCTTAATGTCGATGTCTTTGTTGAAATGACTCCCAATCTATTCGTTAGTTCTTTGGCATGTTTAATGTCAGCAGAAGCTTTCTTTCCTGGCCTTTAGGGCTTCCTCAGAAGAATGTACCATATTTGGAACAAAATTGCTTTTAACCTCTTCCCAGTCATCCTGAATACAAATTTCTCCCTTTTTAATGAA